TCTATCTATCTATCTATCTATCTATCTATCTATCTATCTATCTATCATCATCATCTACCTACCTACCTACCTACCTACCTACCTACCTACCTACCTACCTACCTACCTACCTATCTATCACTGGAATTTTCCCCGGCAGCCAGTTCCACTCAGCAGAGATGCCTTCTACCTGCTCCGTTGGTCAGCGGTATGGAAAATGCCTTCAGAGCTAGCGGGCAATCCTCGACTATACCAAGTTGAGTCCCGGGAAAGAGAAAGAAACGGTTAGGTCGGAAGTTAACGGTGTTTTCCTCCAGGATAGATTAAAAAAAAAAACGCGCAGTGACCTCACCTGTGCCGGAGACGTGCCTGAATACGTCGGATTCGTTCATCATAATCGCCTTCATCGCAGCCGGCAACAGTAGGATCTCGGGCACCGCGCACGTTTCCAGTCATCATAATAAACGCCGCAAACAGGCCTAAGCGCTCTTGTTTATTTTCCGTGGTCTCTAAGCTACAAAACTCGCTCCCGGCATGCAGCACGGCCAGTTCACGACTCTAATTCGCAAGCCAATCATCGACGAGGTGAAAGCCACGCCCCCTCCCCGTACTCTCAAGCAATCAAGATACTGTTAACCGTAAAAGAAAGTACAATCGGCTTGTGATTCCCATGTAATGAATGAAAGAAACCGGGGCTCATTTCAAAGGTGTTAAATAAAGGTAAGTCTGATTTCAGTAGCAGCTTACTCCATAGGCAGTTACTCGGAAGTCAGCAGTAGCAAATTTAGTCTAGTAAATGTGTTATTGGATAAAATAAATTACATTTAAAAGCAACTACATTTAATCGGATTAGCTTGTTTGTTTAATGCACATGGTTTGGTGTGGTGCTTTGAATTTGAAGCTAAATTCAAGGGATTTAGCTTCAAATTAGCTTCAAGGGTTGTTACTTAATTTGTATGCATTATTATTAGGCAGAATCATCTAGGTCTTGACTAAGTCAGGTATTAGTCACAAAATGTCAAAAATGTGTTAAAAACTTTTAGCTAAATCTGAACCTGTCAACTAGGTCTGTAGACAGCTTGAAATAGCTGAACTTCGACTTGTTTTTATTTTAGAAAACCTGCACATCATACCATATTCCCTTTGACAGTATATAGGATTCAGATTATTGTTAATTTTATGGATTTAGATGGAATGCTATAATAAAAGAATTCAGATTCCAAATCATTTAGTTCTCCTTGTGACTGAACATGTCCTTTTCACCACCTGTCTCATAATCCTACCTTTGAATTGCATTCTTCTGTGAATTCATGTTCTAATTGCTAATGGATCAAACTGCTTGACTCAGAACAGTGTAATAATTGCAGAACATTCAGTCCTTGTGCAGATTGCAAGCTTACACATTATTATAAAACAACAGTGGCTGAGTCCATAATTGCAGTAAACCATGGTTGGTTTTAAAATGGTTTATTGTGTGTACCACTCTGGGTGGGTTTTCACCATGGTTTAAAACCACAGTAGCTGGATTCACATAGCATGCTAAACCACAGCAGGCAAGATGTGTTACGTTGACTACAATGTGTAAATTGGACCTCCTTTACATTTATTTTGCAATGATTTTAACAAGGAATGAAAATATAAGGAGATAGACTTCATTCCTGAACTTTGTAGGATAATGCTCCAAACTCAAGTATAATTGAGGTATAAAAAAATAAACATGAATCTTTATTACTTTTCCTGTTGACAAAAGTTGAAAGAAATTTGAAAAGTGTGAGAAAGTAAGATGAACTGAAGTAAAAATAATAAGTTGCAGAAATGTCAATTGTTTAAAAAATATGAAAGATAACAGCATTGACAAAGCTCTTATTGTATTTGGTTTATTATCTTTTTTTCTTGATTCCTCCAAAACAGAGGTGTCAAACTCGCGGCCCATGGGCCAGATGCATCACGCACTGGCCGACCCCACCCCCGGTTTAGCGAAGGGGAAAAAAGTTGTGATACGTCACGTGAATACAATGTGTTGTCACAAGTTTGAAACCCCTGCTCCGAAACATAAGTTACATTCAAAATATGTTGGAATCAAGAAACTAGGTTAGTTTATTACAGAGGTGGGTTCCTACCAGTTCGCACCAGTTTGGTAGAACCGGTTCGTCAAATCTACCGAACCGGTTAGAAGAGGTTCCACCAGTGGAACCGGAAAGCAGGCCACACCTACAGAAAAGGTTTCAAAATTTTTTGAAACCCACCACTGACACACACACACACAGAGAGAGAGACAGTATGTTTGACATTTGACTAAAATGTTGAGGAATTTTATTATTAATAGCAATAGCAATAGCAGTAGACTTATATACCGCTTCATAGGCCTTTCAGGCCTCTCTAAGCGGTTTAC